GATCTGAAATGAGCAGTTTAGGCAAGTCAGCCTTAAAATGTCAGTGAATTAAAATAGTTCTATAAAAAAGAATAGGCCAAAATTCTTCCAAAATCGGTCAGCAAGTACTGTAAATGTTATAGGCTAATCACTAATATTAAAGACTTACTACTAATTCTAATTCTACATAGTTTGTATACTTTTCCAAACAGTGATAGTGAATTTTGGATCTATGTGTTAAAACATGGAATGATTCAATACAATGCTTTTTGAGGGGCAGGGAGGGGGGGGCTATCTGTTTTCCAGAATTATTTATTAAAAGGGTTTAGATAAAGCTCAGAATATGTCCTAGGTTATGATATTGTAGGACTACAGTGGTTCTAAAGGATTCACAAACTTTTCCTTCATCACCGTAGATATAAAACTGGGGAAGTCCACATTTTTTCCAGCCGTATTAACATAATGGGCTAAGTCATATGTGTAATTTCAGTGAAAGCATTAGAGACTAGGATTAGCACCACCAGGCTTTTCAGTGTAGTTTTGTGTCTTTTGTATTTCCTTCTCATTACACAATCCAATCTACTTTATTCAGGACTATCAACACAGCGAACAGTTTAAACAGGTGGATCATTCAGTGATGCTCACATTTGAACTTGAGGAAGACATTTCATTTAATTACAAGTAATCCTCAATTTACAACCATTCATTTGATAATGGTGTGAAATTACAACAGCCTCAGAAAGAATAGTTTATAGTCTGTAAAGCACTCCCAGCCATTGCAAAATATTGCACACACGAACAGTCTTGATTGTGATCTTAGCAACCAGTTGCCAAGCACCCTATGATCATGTGATTGCCATTTGCAATCTTCTGTATCAACTTCTCCAGAAAGTCAGTGGGGAAATGGGAACATAGAATGCTGCTGCCATCTGCTAAGAGGACTCTCTCTTGTCTCTGGGAAAGAGCTACCCAGGGCTTGAATTGCTCCAGCAGGCAGCCAGGACTGAATTGTTGCAGCAGGCAGCTGTTTAATGGCAAAAAGGTGCCTGCTGGAGAAATTTAGCTCCACATGGGTGTGAAACTGACAGCAGGCAGCCCTTTCATTGTTAAAGAATTGTCTGCTGAATGATTTCAATTCTGTGTAGAGCTGAAATCTTTCAGTAGGCATCTCTTTCGCTCCATCCACTTCACAATCCAGGAGCTCACTTAATAACTGCAACCGGAAGTGCTAGGATTATGCCTGTTGAAGCTGTCATGTGATGTCTCGCTTAATTATTGCTTTGTTCAAGCAATAATTGACCAAGAATCACCAAGAATCCAGTCCCAATTGTCAAGTCAAGGAATACCAATCTACTGGTTAAGAAAGTAGATTGAAAAAGAAATTCACCACAGTTAACTTCATTGAAAGATTATAGAGACAGTAAAGAATCTACCTTTATCCAAAGATTTGCCTGAAAAAAATAGCATGCAAGGAATTTATCCAAGCCAAAAGGTTGACTTTGTGCTTGAATTCAAGGTTCATTAAAGTTTTCTCCACAAAGATTTCAAAGGGATGGATGTTCTAAGTTCAGTCAAGCATGATTCAGTACAAAGAGAACAGTTGGAGCTCTAGATTAATGAGTTGAAAATGTGAATGGCACAAATATCTTTCAAACAATAGAGCAGCAAACCTTAAAAGTATTTTAAAAATTGGGACATTTTTTGTAATATTGATAATGAAGTTGCTTTACAACTTGTTCAGGTTCAAAATTGGATCAATTATAAGACATGTCATTATAAGTTAGATCCAAAGTAAGTCAACTTTATCAATGAATAGGCCACTGTTACCCGATAAAAGTTTAATTACAATTTTTTGCAGACTTTCAGTCCTGATGGCCGTTGGCTAATAACTGCATCAATGGACTGTACCATTAGGACTTGGGATTTACCATCTGGATGGTAAGTAAACTTTACTATAGAAGTTTATAAGTTTCGCCCATATATGATATTGCATTTTAAGCCTGAAATTAGAATTGAGATAACAAAAGTTTCTGATTTTGAAAGATGTAGAAAGTAAATTGTTTTATTTTGCATAAAGTAAGCAAACTGTAAATAAAGGCCAGGAAAGCTGCTAATGGATGTTATATCCAAAAAGTGTTTCAGAATATATGGGAATTTAATGTAGCATCTATATATAGTTACGTAAAAGAAATAATGACATGGTGTACTATGTCATGCGTTGTTGTTCATCTGAAGTTGTATTTACCTACTTTTAAGAACTGCTAAGGAGCAAATGATTTTTTTTAAAAAAAATATTTTTATTAAAAAAAAATTCATCATAAAACATGGTATCAACAACGTTCTTGGCATCTATACATGATTTTGGTTTAAATATCAATACATTATATTGCATTTACTACTAAATAATATCTTTAGCTATAATTACTATTCTTATATCTTTATATAATTTACAAATTTTTATTTTACTTTCTTAAGGATTGTTTCAATTAACATTTTTGTCTCACTTTTTGGTTCTGTTTGTTAGCCATTTATACCAATTGTTCCAAATTGTAAAGAATTCAAAGTCATCTTTTTCTTTCAATTTCATTGTTAACATAGTCATCTCAAGACTTTCTGTTACTTTGTGTATTATTGGTTCTTCGTTGGGGGTATTTGGAGCAGATGGTTTTTATTATGACCTGATACATAATCATAGAACTTAAAGAGGATGTACTTTCTTTTTCACATGACTGTATGTGAAATAACATATAACATCTGCATGTATTCCAGGGATCATATTCCTTCTCTCTATTTTGTACTGAAGTATCTCTTGCAAATTGAATTTTCAAGTTTAATATTAAAATATTTTATTACATTTTGGAGCTGCTGTAGGTTCATTACACTGTATATCAAGTGCATTATCAATGTGTATAGATCCAGAAAAAGGAAGCAAACAATTCAACATTATTAAAGCAGTGAATACATGATATTCATGATAACATTTCTGACAGACCTTGTTTCACATACAATAACTACTTACTTCATATCAAAATTGATGTCAGTACTGCTTTTTTAAAAAGATGTTATAAAAAGGACTGTTTAGTTTCCAGACATGTAGAAATGATACAACATTCAATTCTTAATTGGGTACACATTGGTGACTGGGTACAATACAGATTCACCAAGGACATGGTGCAAATAAATAATAAATTTTCAAGGATAAATTAAGTTATCCTTACTAAAAAGGAATTATCCTTTCTAGCAATTACACAACATGAAAATAAAACACAAATGATTAAAGGAAAATCAAATATAAGAAGCAAGACAAATCACATTTAGAAGACATAAGTTCAGAGCACAAAGAAAATGTTTAATAGATAGTAAAAGAAATGCTGCAGTTAGACTAGTACTAGGTTTCTCATAGGCTACCAAATATATTCGTGTTTAGTCTTTTGAGTCTAGAAGAGAGATGAGAAGGATGATTTTTAAACGGGACAGTTTTCAAAAGGCATCAGCTAGCTAATGGAATGGTAAGACACATTTAGAAAGTGATTTTAATGTGAAATTAAAATAAAGCAATGATTTATGAAGAAAGGTATACGTTTTGAAAGGTCATATTAAAGAAGGTATGAGGACTTTCATAATGATCTTTTGAGCATAAAAACGGTGAGAGAACATGGATATTTGCTTGCTTACTGAACTCTCAAAGGTCTTGGTCAGATATACCAAATGTCCCCCTGCTAAAATCTGTCACTTAGTTAAAATTCAATTATCAGCAGCACAAATGGGAATAAGTTGAAGAACCTGAGATTGGCAAGGTCATCCTTGAATCCTTTATAGTTGTATTTTATTCATGACAAACTTTTATTTAGGTATATATTCAGCCAAATTGGTGATGTGGTTTAAGAAGGAGGGAGTAGATCTTCTTACTTCTTAATAGCTCTGGGCTATTGGCCTAGTTCCAGGAAATAAACTTTTCCCCTCTTTTTGCAGCAGGCCATCCAGAGACACATAGTCTTTTAGTTCAGATTTGATACCTAGAATGAAAAAGGGGTACCCATACTATCAGAGTGAAACGATGCTGGAACAATATGTCCATTTCCTTGCTGTGTGTCCTTGCCTTGAATTTCAGATCACAACTCTTCAATTGTGCCTTTACCTTGGAGACTTGCCTTGTTTTTGCACTGTGGACTATTGCTGGCTTCTTTTGAATAGTCTGTTGAACTCATCAGGAAGGGGCTGGTCCTGACACAGGGAATTGTTGGAGAATACTAATTCAGGGTTGGAACCCCTAATAAAGACCTCTGACACCTGTAGGGTGTGTGTGTGTGTGTGTGTGTGTGAGAGAGAGAGAGAGAGAGAGAGAGAGAGTTTTCAAGGGTTGTCTTTTTATTACTATTGACATGAATATCAATATTAGGACTCTTAGAAAGATAGTATATGTCTGAAAGTGGAAAAAAGAACTAACAGATCTAGTTTCATGCATTATCTACTATGAGATGGATTTCTTTTTTTATTTCACAGCCTGGTGGATTGTTTCCTACTAGATTCGGCAGCCGTAAGCATTACTATGTCTCCTACTGGAGATTTCCTTGCTTCCTGTCATGTAGATGATCTTGGAATTTACTTGTGGTAAGTTTTTTACTTTGCAATTCTGTTTTAAAAATGATTTGACTGTTTCTATTCTTTGGACTTTTCCATAGTACAGTTACAATTATGTGATGATTTCTCCCTTTTAAAAATGCATTCTAGTTTGCAAGGTTGATAAGTGGCCTTTTTCCTAATGTAGCTGAAATGTAAAGACTTTCATCTTTAAGAAATATCTGAAATATAATCATTTATTTCTTCTTTAGTGCACCCTGTACCTTTCCAGCGTTTTTAAAAGATGGTTGACGTATTGATTTAATATTGTAGTTGATCACATGGTCTGGTAGAAATGTAGATTAAATTTGCAATTTTTGTCCATCTATTGAGTCCTTTCCAAGGATTTGAGATAAGCAGGCGTTGTTTAATATTTATTATATAGGTAATCTGTACTTAGATTCACAGTCTAAGATTGGTAAAAACATAATTCACATTGCATAGTTAGTTGGCAAAGCTTGTACTTAAACTGCTAAAATAAAGCCTAGAGTTTTTAATTTTTATTTAACAATCTACCAAGTCCTTTCCAAGGACCTGGGATAAAGAAATGTTACTTGATGGGGTTGAAGATATTGTCACAGGATGGAGGTTGTTCCAAGTAAATCTTCCTTTTTCAATCTATTATTATTATTGTTGGGGGCAATATGTTGACTCCATAAACCTCTTAGAGAAGGCTGTAAAGCACTATGAAGCAATATATAAGTCTAAGTGCTATTGCTATTACTATCATTATCGTTATTATTTATTGCTTTTTAAATTTTCTTTTTAGGTCTAATCGTTCCCTGTTTTCGCTTGTTTCCTTGCGCCCTCTTCCATCAGATTATGAGCCTTCTGTTGTAACACTTCCTGGTACCTGTTCAACTGAAGGTAGTAATGCATATAGAGAGAGGCCTTGGAATAATAATTTCAGAGAATCACTTTAACAAAATATGTAATACTGTGGAATTTCTTGTTGAAAGTTCAGGTGGTTTTTTCACATGAATATAATTTGGGACATGTATACTGTATTTCTATTTATTTTGATACAGTATCTAGCTAAATTGTTAGCCTAAGGTTTTTACAACTGCAAAAACTTGACTCTTCTAAAAGTTTTTTGTTTAGTAAAACAGTGTATTCACTGGAAAATCATTAGTCATTTGTGTTACTAGTGCTGCTTCATTTGAAATCTTATTTAGGGAATAGTCAACAACACTAAGTTTTAGAATGTTTCTTAGCTTGAATTGCAGTGGACTTAAAGATTGGGATCTATTTTATTAATCTTTCTCTTTAAACTAGAGTGGAGCAAATAATAATGTAAAACTCTGTTAAATTAGTGCACTAATTTAAGTTATCAGATTGAAGGTGATCAAAAATTGATGATAGCCAAGTACTGACTTAACATATTTAATAATTTATCAGTATGCAAAACCAGGGAGCTTATAATCTAAAATTCATTGGTATAAGGCAGTATTTCTCAATGTCAACAACTTCAAGTGTGGTATTGATGTCAGTTCCCAACATAACTGGCTAGGGAATTCTGAGAATTGACTTCCACATCTCTAGGTATACTGGTGAAAATAGTGTTGATAGGATAGAATATGACAATAAGGCATACTGTCTGTGTAGATCTACCACTCCTGGCAAAATAAGTCACATCCAATTAATTTTAGCTGCAAATGATAAATTTCAGGAAAACTTTTGTTGTGTCATAATAAAGATTAGACCAGTGGTTCCTAAACTTTTTAAGTCCACCGCCCCCTTGGTGTTACAGGTGCTCATCCTCAGTGCCCCCCACCCAGGGGTGGGATTCAAATTTCTGTGGGCGTGGCCTAATTTGAGGGTGTGGCTTGCTGGTCATGTGACTGGGTGGGTGTGGCCAGGTGACTGACAAACCAAATACAAGTGGTCCTCACTTAATGGCCAGTTGTTTAACAAGTGTTCTAATTTATGACTGGCCTCCCCAGAGCTACTTGACCTGTTTTTGGAATTTTGACAGCTTTAGATCAGGGGTCTAAATCCCACCCCTGTCTGTGTGTGTGAGAGAGAGGGAGAGAGAGAGCTTGGATCAGATGTGAGCCTGAGAGAGGGAAAGAAAGAGAGAAAGAGGAAGAAAAGAAAGAGAAAGGGGAAAGAAAGAAAAAGGGAAGGGGGGAATGGAAGGAAGGGACAGAAAGAAAAAGAAATAAAGAAGGAGGGAGGAAGGGAGGAGAAAGATACTGAGATATCTATTCTAGTTCAATCACCTGCTCCAGCAGGGAGTGTGTGTGTGTGAGTGTGTGTGTGTTCTCCTTGTAATTTACCAGTAGATTTTGGTTTTGCCTTCTTCAGAATTGGCACTGTAATACATTGGGGAAAAGTAATTTTTCGGGTGGAGATCTGCTCCAATGGATCCTGTTTAAAGGCTCAACAAAATGTGAGAGCTTCCTGATAGTCTTGGCCATGTTTTGTCCACAAAACCTTTAATAGAAGCCAAAGAGGTTTCAATGTGGAAAAAGGCCTCAGTATAAACTAGGCCTCATTCAATCTGATGCATCGGGTGTCTCTCTCTCTCTCTCTCTCTCCTTCCCTCCCAGACTGGCTTTGCTCTACTTTCCCGATGTGCCTGCAGGGCTGGCATTTCGAACATGGATGGATGGAGAGAGAGGGAGAGAGAGAGAGAGAGAGAGAGAGAGAGGCAGATAGATATATTGGTAGGTAGGTAGGTGTCAGGCAGGCAGGCGGGCAGACCTTTTGGATGAATGTATGGATAGATAGATAGGTAGGTAGGCAAGCAGTCAGGAAGACAGACTTTTTGGATGGATGGATGGACGGATGGACAGACAGAATGTGACAGCGGCGGCACTTTGGGAAAGCGGTGGCGGCGGCTTTTCCCAAAGTGCTGCCGTATTCGAGGCACCAGTTCCAGTGCGATACAACAGTCAGTGGGGTGAGCCTGCAGGGCCGGTGCCTCGAACATCCCCCTCCCGCCTCTTAGCAGGATTCACCCATTGACTAGCACTGCTCCAGAGCCAGTGCCTCCAATGCGGAACCAGTGGCAGGTTATGTGCTGCCGCAGCCATGTTCAACGCGCCGCCCCCCTGCCGCTTCTTAGCACCTCTCTGCTGGCCCCCTTGGGGATGCTAAGAGGCCACAGGGGGGCGGCACGTTGATCGTGGCCGCCACGGCACATAATGTGCCACCGCTTCCAGATTGGAGGCGCTGGCTCTGAAGCGGTGCTACAGTCAATGAGTGAACCTGCAGGGCCAGCTGGTGCTTCGAATGCCCCCCTGCTGCCTTTTAGCACCCCCCTGCCAGCCTCTTTGCCTCTTAGCGCCCCCCCTAAGGCATCCCACCGCCCCCCAGGGGGTGGTACCGCCCACTTTGGGAACCACTAGATTAGACTATATATATTTTAGCCCTTGTCTGGATTAGTGTTTTGTAATGTATTTATTCTTTTCTTTTACAATTGAAAGTTGAAGATGGAACAGAAGAAAATGAAACAAATGATGAAATGATACAATATGAATCTCCACCACAGCTGGGAGAAACAATTGTGACTCTTTCTTTGCTGCCAGAATCTAGATGGAAAAACTTGCTCAGTTTAGACATTATTAAGGTACCCATTTCATGACTTGCATATAAAGTTATTAGGAGTTGTGTCTATTATTGTAAGACAGTTATTTTAAACATTGTGAATAATAAACTGTTTTCAGAATAATTGGTTAAGAGAACATTTAAGTTTTAAGTTCACAGAAATTCTATACTGGGTGTATGAGAAAGTAGATATCAGAATTGTTCTATAATATTTTCATTTACAAAGTAGTAATGTCTGTTAAATGTAATCATATATAGAGTTGGAACAAAAATTACATTTTTCCCCAAAACAGTGAAGTAAACCTTTTAAGAAAGCATTTGCCCTAGGAATTTTTGTCTCAGTCGCACAGCCAGTTATGAGATAATGTGCCATTGGAATTTAAAAAAAATATTTAACTGACATAGTGAAGCAGAATTAAATACCATCTTATACTCATGCAGTTCACTTGACTATAATATTTTTGACAATATAATAGTTACAGTTTCAAAGTACTGATGTCTCCTTTTGATTTATGATTATTCTGTGTGTAATATTTTAGATGGGTTTTCAGTGTTTTTAACAGCAAGGAATTTAATAATTTTGCTTGTTTATTGTGAATATTGGATTTACATAAAAATGTGATGGTGATGATGTGAAAATTCCCATTAACAGCAAAAGAATAAGCCCAAAGAACCACCAAAAGTACCAAAATCTGCACCGTTCTTCATTCCCACTCTTCCTGGTCTTATACCACAATTTGCTTCTGTTGAGCATGAAGGTGATGAACAGCAGGTAAAAAGAGAATTGATTGTACAAAAACTTATTTGCCTTTTAAATGTCTTTTCTTTTTTTCTCCAAGTTCTTAAAAGTCTCAGAAGTGTTTCTGGTATAAGCTTAATCATATTTTCCTGTTAACCACGTGATGTTTAAGTGCTGTATCAAGGTACTTGCACTACCTGAATTTGATACATCCTTTATTTTTTTCAGTTCTGTTCTGTTGTACCTTAAGTATATGGTAACAGCATAATTTTTGGATATTAAAGTGGGTCTAATAATTGAAACAGATGTTTTATGCTTTGTTGAATCTTTTGTCAGTGGTAAAATTTCCTTGCCTTTCCCTTTCCCTATAAACTATATATTTTTCTTAAGAATAGTGATGATGAAATAGAAGCCAACCACTAATATAATGTTAATAAATTACAACAGTAAAATGAGCCAATTTCACGGTAACTTTAGCATAATTCATTGATATTATTGTAGTGCCCAATTGCTCTTCAATTGTTGAGTCCATTGTTGTGGATTCTTGCCCTTCCTCATATATAACTCCCAAAATCTGTTCTAAATATGGGAAGGTGACACTTGAGCAGAAGAAGGAAAAACTATTCACCTATAGGAACTAATTGTTGTGATTCCTAACTTACGTTTGTAAACATTCCATCAAAATATGTTTACCCTTGAATGTACTTACAAGTGATGTGATTTTTTTTTTTTAAATTTCCAGTCAAAAGTGGTAAATCTTGGAATATTGGCTCAAAAATCTGAGTTCTACTTGCAGCTTGAAGAAGCATTAAAAAGTAGCAACTGTAAGTTTTCATATGAAATGACAGTGTACTTGATGGTAGTTCTAACTCTGAGAGCTTATGCATCACAGACAAATTCCAGACAAAGTGTGTCCAATCACACCTGGCCAGTAAAGAATTCTATATTGATACAGAAACATAGAAGAAAATTATATATTTTCAAATGACATTTAATCAATATATTTTAATTAACTAGTGTCATTATTATATTGCATCATATTGAGTCCTTTTTATTCTACTACTATATATCATTCTGATTGATGCTTACGTAATTATGAGCATTCGTTATGTGTTAGTGTAATGTCTTATTGTGTAAACATATATCAATAACTTTGGTACTCTAAGGCTATACTCTTTTGCAACTTCATATCTGTCCCTCTGCCATCTATCTACCCATCTT